GGAGGGAGGAGGGAGGAGGGAGGAAGAAGAAGAAGAAGAGCCATCTCAGTCCACATCTAAACTCCTCTCTTAAGCTCTGGCAACAAATCTGACAATCTTTTGGACAGTGCACCTGAAAAATGTTCAACCATTTTTCAAAGACTGATGAGTTGTATGCTCTGAGGCAGAATTCTCAGGGTTGCTTCATTTCACACCATTTTAATTCTCCTAGAACCTTCTGAACCTGATCAAATCATTCCCAAATGAATGGAACCAGAGACCTTTTCCCATCTGGACCCCTCTTGTTTACCATATAGCTTCTCTTAGCTCCCTTCACTCTTTTTCCCCATTATTTTCCCCAGAGTAAGATTTCTGTCTTGTACCCATCCATCAGCCTGATTCTTCTCTTCAAATTCCACCTTCTTTCAGAATCCAAAATACACAGAAATGAAATTACTAATGTCCCACTCACTTGAACCAGGAGGAGAAGCCTAAAGGTAGGGAAAGTGCTGCGATGAGAGGCCTGCAGTGGTCTCCAGGATGGACGAGAGGGTGAGAGCAGGTGCTAAAGAGAATGCTCCAGTCAGGCTGAATGCTAGCTTTGCACCCTGCTGCCCACTCTCCATGTCTTAGGACATTCTTCAAAATCACACGCCCCTCACCCCCAGCCTGAACCAGTCTTCTTAGTATTCTCCAAATCTTCTGGAGGCTGCCCCTCTCCCTTGCTCTGTGCAGCCCTGCCCCCTGGGATGGACTCCGAAAGGTTCATCCCCAGAACTAGCTGTCCCCCCGCAGTGCTCAGCTGCTCTGGTCTTGCTCTCTGTCCACTTTAAGGAAAGTCTCCTGCCAGAAGGAGAGCAGGTGCCCCTAGGCCCACTCCTAGCTTTCTGCAGACTTTCACTCAATCTGCTTCCCTCCACTTCTACAACCCTCCCCTCACCCCTCACCCTGGCTGTCTGACATAGGGAACCAGTCAATTAAATAAACACTGTCGTGACTAAGAGTGGTCACACTAACCCACTCTGAACCTGGCAAAGCATTGCTACATGCTTTATGATGGTGTCTCATCAAATCTTCACTGTAACCCTATGAGGTAAGTGTCATCGCCCCAATTTACAAAAGGGGAAACTACATTCGGCTCAGGGAGGTTAAGCAACTTGCTCAAATCACAGAGTATGATAAAGCCAGGATTGATAGCCAGCTTCCACCAGCTTTAAATACCAGGAATGGATATAGCCTCTCCGAACCATCTTGGCTCCCGTGGGAAAGCACAAGGGCTTCTGGATCCCATGCTCCTGGTCCAAATCCAGCTGCACTGTTGGCTGTGTGAACTTCGGCATACTTTTTGAACACTGTAATTTTCAACCTCTTTGCCCAATAAAATGGAGTTATTAATGCCTAGTTTACAAAACTGTGAAGGAAGGAAGGAGAACATGGACATCGGGGGCCAGGCAGTCAACAAATGTTAGCTCCTTTCCCAGCAAACACTGTTAATTGTGTTCAGTGGAGGGCTGCTCTGCTTTATTAACTCAACAATACGCAGTGATGGGTGATTAAATCAATGTTCAGTGGAAGGACATGCCAGATTTAAGGAAAGTGCTCTTCCTGTACACAGAGCAGCTATTTTCATTTGGGAACGTGAAAGAGGGAAAGTAGAGGGGAAAATAAACACTGAGAATAGACACCTTACAGTCATTAGAATCCGCACCAGCTTTAATACATCCTAGCTGCTGAAAGATAAACACAGATGTGAATGCTGGATGAATAATACTCTCCTACTGGATGTGAATTAGTAACAGAAAATAAATGGATGGGCTCTGGCCAAGTCCAAAACAATGAAAAAGTAAAGGTTTTGATGATTAATTCCCTGGTTTCTGAAAATCTTCCTAAACCATCTCAAAGGATCAAACTGATCAAGAAATTACAGTTAGGGCCGGCCGAGTGGCGCGTTGGTTAAGAACTGGCTTGGGATGCCAGAGGGCCCCGGTTTGGATCCCACATATGAGGGCCAGTGACACTGCCCTCTGCAACTAAGATGCTGAACAACAGCTCAACCTGGAGCTGGGCTGCTGTGGGTCGCTGGCGACGGCATAGGCTGCAGTCCCCTGCTGCGGTGGGCTGCCATAAGCTACCATGTGTAGCTGATAGCCAGCGTGAGCGGCCAGCAGCTGCAGTGAGCGGCTGTTCAGAGACCGGAGACTGATCTGCCTCACCCGGGAAGAGTGCAATGATGGTGCCAGCTTGGGCCAGTGAAGCAACGTCCTCCACAACTAGACTGAAGAACAAAACGACAGCAACTTGTCTGTTCCCCTTCCCCAGATTCCCTAGCACTGTTCCCCTCCCCCCAACTCTCCAATAAAATCTTTAAAAAAAAAAAAAAGAAATTACAGTTAAATCTAGGAACCGACTCTCACAGGGGTGGGGAGAGGGTCTTTCCAAGGGTCTTTAAATTTTCAAATATTTTGTTTCTTTCCTCTCCAGAATAGTATAAGACTTACATTTAAACTGTAACTCATAAATTGTATGGCATAAAGTAGAAAAGAAAGAAGAGAGGGAGGGAAGGAGGAGAGAGGGAACAGCTATTCTAGGAATACTATGAGGTACTTGGGCTCTGGGGAGTCGGAGCCCATGCAGAGGTCTACTGTTCCCCTGGAACAGGTTACTTTGCTACTTAATCGCTGCCTTTGGAGCCTGCGTTGCTTTAGGGCCTTAGCTTTATTATCCCTTTAAGGCAAGAAAACAGAAAGGAGGGCCAGTCAAATGGCGCGTTGGTTAAGAGCTGGCTTGGGACGCCAGAGGGCCCCGGTTCGGATCCCACATATGAGGACCAGTGACACTGCCCTCTACAGCTAACATGCTGAACAACAGCTCAACCTGGAGTCGCTGGCAACGGCGTAGGCTGCAGCCACTGCTGCAGTGTGTTGCCATGGGCTACCGTG